AATTAACTATATTGACATTGTTAATATTTATATACATATATTTTTATTTTATCGTTTCATTATTATAAAAATATTATTTTTGAAAAAAATGTAATTTTTATATAATTTCTTTAATAAAATATAAAATATAATATATATATAATATAAAATATAATATAAAATAATATATATAGAAGTAAGTTTTTTGCTATCTATAATATATGAAAAATGATTCATGTAAAAATTGTAAATAATTTAAATAAATTATTTAAAATTTTATTATTGTTGAATAAATAAAAATGGAGTGTATAAAGAATAAATGAAAGTAATTAAAAATTACATTACAATTCTTCATGTATAATATAAGATGAAGATCTTTCTGAGGGAAAACCCCAAAAAAATGTAGGATACCCTTTAATTTCTCTTTCTCTTGCAACAAAAGCTGAGAAGGAAGATATACAATTTCCTATAAAATAATTTGCTCTTCCAAGAATAGTTAAATCTAAGTGAGGTGAGGCTGGTGGGTCTTGTTTAAAAACTGGAACCTGTAATAAATGTTGAATGTTTATATCCAAAATAAAAATTTATCAACTGTTTTTAAATATTTTTATATTAACTAATTATTAAATTAATTAATTTTATTAACTATAATAATATCTTACTTCCATTCGTGCTAAGGCTTTAGTAAGTTCTTCAATCATATAATTATTATCAGAAGCTACAAATACTGATTTGACATTACTACCATTGCGAATAACTCGTTTTAGATGACGCACTATTAAATCAAATGATGGTAAACACATAGCAGAAGTTGCTTTACCACGTTCGTTTCGATATCCAAGACATTGTGGAGCAGCAAAAAGATTTGGTGTGCTGGATATAAATTCACAAGCACGAACCTATAGAATATAAATTACTTTTTAAAATTTATAATATATTGAAAATATATTTTGAATATTTATAAAATAAATACCCAATCAATTCCATTACGTAAATGAATTCCTACAAATGCTCCTTTTGGTAATTTTTGCTTTATAAATGTTTTTGCTTTATTTAACATATCTATATTCCATTCTACATATTTATGTAATCTCTTATTTTCTAATTGAACAGGAAAACTTGCAGGTGCACCTGTAAATGCTAATACTGGCCAATGTAAAGCAGGATATTGTTTTTTCCATTGTATTGCCATATCTGTATGATAAACATCATAATGAAGAGGACCATAAAATTCTGATTTAACAAAATCTATATTATATGTATCCCAAAATGGGCCAAATGGATTTCCATCTTTAGCATTACATGAATCTCCTTTTCCACGTGCAGAATAACAGAAAGCT